CCCGTCACGCGCGTGGCTTGTCAGGCCACTTCGGCTCCTGGGCGCCACGTGGCGGCCGCGCGAAGCCCGAAAGATTGCCCAAGATTCGTCGAACTCCTTGGTCTCCCGCCACGGGCGGAATGCCGCGATCCGGCTTCCGGAAGCCGGCACACAGTGGGCGTTGCCAAACCCGGCGGTCACCAAATCCGCCTCTGCAAAGGAGGAAACTGCAAAGGCCCACCCATCTGAAGACGGCAGACCTTCACAGCTTCGGGGACTACTGTCGGGGAAATGGACCCCAGGCAGGCAACGGAACCCGAATCCTTTTAAAAAACAATGGGGCCAGCATCGCCCCTCAACCCAGCTCACGCTTGGTCGGGTCTCTCAACTCGGCCAAGCCCTGCGACCCGGCCGAGCTCTGCAACCCGGCCAGACTCCTCAACTCGGCCCCAACGACCAAGCTCAAGACTTCCCCAGCAAGCCAGCACCGCCCTTGGTGTGTTCTCCAAACCCAGCCGAGGGTCAGCGGCCGTCCCATCCCAGCCGTACGATGGGACGAGTCTCCACCAACTGATGATTGAAGCCATAGTACCCCGCCCATGCCTCTGGTCAGCCGGACGAAGCAACAGTGCCTCTCACCTACCCGCAGACCAAGGCTGGCGTAGCAACAGTGCACCCGACGTGACCCATGACGCCCACAAGCTGCGGCCTGATGGAGCGCCACTGTAACCGACTCAACTCGGCCATGCCCTAACGATCGACAAGACGGTGCACAGTGCCCCCTAGGCGCATGGGGCCCGCGCCCGGAGAACCCGGCGAGCCCTAGTACCCGGTGGGTCCCAGCACTAGGTTCCTGGACACTGACAACCCGGCCCTACGGCCTTGTAACATTACCCTTGTAACCCTGGGTGGTTGACCTATGAAACCCCCCGGGAGCCCCATGCATACGGGCAGCCACTTCATTCACACAGGCGATCACACACACACACCTAGCAAGCAACACCTGAGGAGAGGGAGCAGCCTAAGCCTTGGCCAGACCTCCTTCTTCCTCCATACAGCTCTAGGAGTAGCTGTGTACTGTTACATATAAACCACACTCGGCAGGACTAGGGGTGTTATCTCTCCGGAGAGCCCTGAACCTGGATATGTATTGCGTCCCGCGCTCGCTCATGCTGACCTCGCCTCTGGAGCCCACTAGTGCCCTCAAGCCTCGTCCTATCTTTAGCCATCCCTTGGCATCTGCCGTGCGCCCACCATGATACTCTCTTCCCACTAAGGCCCATCAAGGCCCATTAGTTCCCCCGGGGGGTCCGATAACCCTTCGGCACTCCGATAATTATCTGGTACCTCTTGGAACTCATCTGGTGTCCGAATAACATCGTCCAGTATATCAATCTTTATGTCTCGACCATTTCGAGACTCCTCATCATGTCCGTGATCTCATCTGGGACTCCGAACAATCTTCGGTCATCAAATCACATAACTCATAATACAAATCGTCATCGAACGTTAAGCGTGCGGACCCTACGGGTTCGAGAACTATGTAGACATGACCGAGACACATCTCTGGTCAATAACCAATAGCAGAACCTGGATGCTCATATTGGCTCCTACATATTCTATGAAGATCTTTAACGGTCAAACCGCATAACAACATACGTTGTTCCCTTTGTCATCGGTATGCTGCTTGCCCAAGATTCGATCGTCGGTATCATCATACCTAGTTCAATCTCGTTACCGAAAAGTCTCTTTACTCGTTCTGTAATGCATCATCCCGTAACTAACTCATTAGTCACATTGCTTGCAAGTCTTATAGTGATGAGCATTGCCGAGAGGGCCCAGAGATACCTCTCCGAAACACGGAGTGACAAATCCTAATATCGATCTATGCCAACTCAACAAACACCATCAGAGACACCTGTAGGTCATCTTTATAATCACCCAGTTACGTTGTGACGTTTGATAGCACACAAGGTGTTCCTCTGATATTCGGGAGTTGCATAATCTCATTGTTAGAGGAACATGTATACGTCATGAAGAAAGCAATAGTGATAAAACTAAACGATCATATATGCTAAGCTAACGGATGGGTCTTGTCCATCATATCATTGTTTAATGATGTGATCCCGTTCATCAAATGACAACACATGTCTATGGTCAGGAAACTTAACCATCTTTGATTAACGAGCTAGTCTAGTAGAGGCATACTAGGGACACTTTGTTTGTCTATGTATCCACACATGTACTAAGTTTCTGGTTAATAAAATTCTAGCATGAATAATAAACATTTATCATGATATAAGGAAATATAAATAACAACTTTATTATTGCCTCTAGGGCATATTTCCTTCATCGGGATCTCCTATTTACTCGTCGTCTCACTAGCCTCGTCGTATCCAATAGGAGTGTAGTCGTAGTAGTAGCAATCCTATATAGTGATGGTTATGGCAAGGGTGAGTACATGACGTACTCCACGAGATTCGTGAGGACCTAAACTATTGTATGTAATAGGTTTCAAAGGAAGGGGTAAAGTGGTTTAGCAGCGCAAGCACCTAAGCATTTGACGGAGACATGCTAAAACTTTCATCTATTAGAGATAATATGTGAGATGCATAAAAGTAGAATGAAACATACATCATGCACTCTATTCACCTACCTAGCGCAATCATAACATAGCCTTGTCTCCCCCCCCCTCCCACACGAGGAAGAACACACAAGACACTCCCATGCATGGTTGGCAAGTTTTAATTGTTATGGTTAAAGTTGCACTATGATCAAGTCAACAAGATCCAAGTCGTCCATAACCGCGGACATTGCTATTCTAATAGATTGACCCCTATAGGGTTGCATTAATGTACCCACACGCACCCTCGTCAAAACCAGTTGTTGACCCATTATAGGCATGAACCGGAAGTTTCAAAACGACACGACACGCCCCTAGCTATATCCAAGACCAGGAAAACCACCGAATGGGTTGACACCCAAATCGGAAGTCCGGTCGGCTCTTCGAATCGGACCCAAATGTCTGCATCAGGTTCCAAGGTGGTTCTTGGCCAAGACCAGGGTCAACCCCTCGTAGATCCACGGTTTTGGACCACCTGGATTTGGGTGGGCTCTTGGGCTAAGAGGAGAGAGGGAAGGGGCAGCCCTATTAGGAAGGTTTTATTGGGAAAGTTTATTTATTTGATTAACTGGCTATAGCAGCTCCATATTTAATCGTTCGGACATCAAACGAAACTCTGGTTAACATGGAACTTTAAACATAGCCTTTCTATACTATAACAAGGCCACACAGATGTTTCTGGTCATTTACACTTTGTTTAAATGCCCATTTCAAAAAAAGGTTCACTTTCTAAAAGAAAGGGGTTTGGATTAGATAGAGGTGCAAGGTAGAGGCGTGCTAAAATCCCCAAAATTTTATGGTAGCCCAAATTTTCAGGGGCTCTTTGGCTCTGAGGAGTCGTGTATCTTATTTAATTTTCACTTTTGGGCATATTTTATGATGTTGCCCAGCAGACCCCTTATTTTCTCTTTTACACTTTGTGAATTTGTTCGGATATGGTTGTGGTTGTGTTATGGTGCTGCTAGAAGGAGGGCGCGAGAGGGCCGACCAAGGGCCTTTTTGCCCACGACCGGGCAAGAGGGAAGGGATTTCCTTCTTAATTCTTGCTTGATTAGATTGATACATCTCCTCCCTTATATAGAGAGGTTTACTTCTTTTTTTAAGGTAAGCGACCCTTATCTCTAATTAACCCTAAGACTAACAGGCTATACCGCCAGCCCGGGCCCATTAGGCCCATTATGTACTCTAACAGGTTGGTACTTTAAAAAGCAGGACAAAAGCCTATTTTGAGACTGCAAATCGTTGAGCTCGTTCGTATTCCCTCCATTCCAAAATATAGTGCGCCCGCGCTTCTCGAGATTCAACTTTGACCATAAATTTGATCAACGAGACCGACTGCGGCGGGAGAAAAAATTGTATAATTGAAAACTTCTTTCGAATACGAATTCACTGATATAACTTTTGCTCCCGCCGCAATCGGTCTTGGTAGTTAAATTTACGGTCAAAGTTGAAGCACGAGGATAGATGAAGCACTACATTGTGGAATGGAGGGTAGATGACCAAATGTTAGTATTACATCAGCGTGCAGGACCATCAAGCTGCACTCCCACATGAGCTCTGCACTAGCGTGTCCGCTCGATAGGTTGCAAGTTCTGCAACAACGCTAGCTCATTGGCACACCGTAACTACGCATTCATGCATGCAACAGCGCCACAGGCGATGATGAGCTGCCGCCTGCTAGTATATTCTGCATCATCTTTTGTACCGCGGTAAAACGCTGAGCAGCCGCCTCATGGCACACCACGTGATGAAGGGGAGGCGATCAAAGGAAGCGCAGGTTGAGCCTCGTGTTTCAATCATACACAAATCCAGCAAAAGTTGCAGCTTTTCACCTGCATCATTGTACGCCCCCAACGATGCAACAGTACAAGCAGAGGCCGGTGCTTTGCAAAAGCAGAGGATCCAAATGAAACCTCCACGTACTCTCTGATAAAGGAGAACTCAATCATAGAGAGCAGCACTGCAGCAGAAGCTGTAAATTACCACACACATTCTGCTGATATTACCAACTTATGTTCATCGGCAACGAGCAATTGATCAGATGCAGGAATGCTCAAAACAAAATGAAATAAAGGAGTGAACGTGTTTGTCACCAGAAATGAAAAATTAATACTGCACAACAGCACAATCACTTGTTTCAGCAGGTAGAACAGCATACAAGGATGGTAAAACATAAGCAAAACCAAGAATGCACAACACAACAACACCAATCGCAACCGGCAACCCCTCAACCATGCACAATGGGAAAGTCGAGACACGCCGTCAGCCTAGATGCACAATCCTTGTTCCGGAAAAAATTATGTACGGAGATGAAGCCTGCACAGCTGGAGAAATGACACACCAGGAACGAAACGGAACAGATCTTCCCAAGTCAGATTCAAAACGGTAGTATGTGCAATCAGGCCTGCAGCTCGACTTGCTTCCGGGCTTGGTTGGGCGCGTTTGCCTGTGGTTTTGGGTCAGACTTGGCACTGCTGGATCGGTTCATCGGATTTCTGTTGGTTGTCCCCTTTGCTGCTCCCCCGCCGACTGTTAGAAACATCAAAGCTAGCTGGATTATATACTGCTGGTTCATGGAAATGCATGGCAGAAAAGGCAGAGATGTACATAGAAAGTGAGAGTCTAGAATTAATGATGCATAGCATATTTGCAAGCATGCTAGAAAGTTAGTTCACAGAAATACAACTGACAAGATGAGAAATCCTTCTAGGGTTCAAGAATGTATGCTAAGAAAACGATGAAATGCTGGATGGGTTGTGATTATTGTGTATTTTACCGTTATTTGGCAGGGACAGGCGCTTCTTGGCGGATGTATTCAGCTGCCCGCGCCTTTCTTTCTGATTGGGCACAGCCAAGGAAGCTACATCTGTGGGCTGGGAGCTGACTTCCTCAAAAGCCTCATCTTCCAGTTTCGACTTCTGTTTGGATGTTCCCAGAGAGGTGGAAGGCAGTACACTTGACGATCGCCCAAATGAAGTGAAATTTATATCCGAATATGACTTCCTGTGGCTTGCACCTTTCTTCTTGCTCAGGCCATTAGGAGGAGTGCTTGAAGTTGGCGCTTTGCCCTTTGGTGTGACCTGAGATTTTATTTCCTCATCCTGATTATCATCACACACTGGCATGCTCTCTTTCGCATTATTGTCAAGTAACCTGTTCTCCCATGGACGTGCAGCCACCCATCTCTCTACCCAGTTTGATCCCCAGTGGTCGTCATCAAGTTCGGATCCTTGCAGATTTGTAGGTTTCTGCTGCCTTAAACCAGCTTGCCGCTGATCAAGAGAATAACATAAGTTAATGACTTTGGAGAGCTTAACAGATGTAAAAAGTTATTACAGAATTGTCAGCATGAGCACTAATCATCATCTACATGTTAAGATCGTTATTAAATGCTACCTATGTTCAACTAGCTACTGAACATCCCCTAAAAAATACTAGTAATTTTTTTCTGATAGTAACAATTGCCCTTTCCATATCTAGTTAATGTAAACCAATCTAGGGAGCCTCGCCAGAATAAGAAGAGCAATACTTTCTCCTTTCTCTCGACTATTGAGCGAGTTTACATGATCTTTCCTATTTTCTAGTTTATTATCTGAATTTCTAGTCCTCCAAGAGAAGTACCTTTAACCATACCAGTTGTTTATGTTCATAAACATACGCAGCACCAGGTGAAAAAAAACACCCCTCAGTGAAAAACATAAGCACATTAGATATATGGAATTACTGTTTGTAAAATACCACAATAGTGGGTTTAGTCAGATAATAGTTTTCTAAAAAAAATATTTACTATGAAACAATTGGCATCTTCTTCACTAGAAAAAAAATATAAAAAATTGGCGTCTTCTTCACTAGACTGTTAAATAATTCACTAGCAGAGCAAGCATGAAACATATCTGCTAATTGACATCTTGCTTGCGGCATTAACTTCCTGAGCTGACTAATGGATCATGAACAAGTGTACATCCAACAAACAGTTCGATTCTAGATCATCAAGTTAATCTCAGTTAACAAGTTTCAATTAGTTAAGGTGTTCTGGTATGGTACCCTCCAAAATTACCTGATGGGTCAATGCATACGCCATCGCTCTCTCGCGTTTTGCAGCAGCTTCCTGCCTTTTCAGTACTTTAGCTTGCATTTCTGCAACAGAACCAATACCGCCACACCAGCCTTCCTGCATTTGTTGTTGCAGAAGTAAACAAAGTTATCCCTTAAACAGCATCTAGTCGATAAATAAAATAATGCCACCCATGTATGACCTGCCTTAATTTTCCATTTCAGAAAAAAAACTGGTGACCAAAACAATGTTAATGATCAACAGGTCTAATCGCAATGAATATATTATTGCTGCATTAATTGGCAGAATATCAAAGGGTTGAAGAAAAATGGCGTTCATTCAGGGGATACAGCTGGGATAGACACACAATAACCGAATATTACATGGTTGGTGGTCAGGAGCAAGTCAACCCTTAAATAAAATATTTTCTTGTCCCTAACCCAAGTTCAATCCAGGTCAGCTGATGAACCGTGTTTAGTGCGACAGCATGTGTACTTCCATCCTTTAGCATACCACTTGTAATTAAATTTAATATGCTGAATTTGTAAAACTAAACTCTAGTGTCCAGTTTCTCTCCTTCCATGACTTGCTCAACATGTATATCTTAAAGTGTAGTTTGTGTAACTGAATGATAGATCGGGAGTTAGGAACACAGAGCAGCATATTTATTTCTAAGGGATTAGATGGCCTACCTCAATTCCTCGAACATGGTTCTCACAATCATCTTGCTCAGGGACCTTTTTCCGCGCCACTTGGTTTTCTAATGCAACACCGGCTTGCCTTGCTCTGACACGAGCTTCGGCTCGTACCAGCTCGTGCATACACTGAAGCGTTTCTGCTGTCTGCTTTCTCACCACATGGCCCCTCACAAGGGCCTGGAGTAGAACTATACCTTTAAGTGCTCGTAAAGCCCGCCTAGCCTATTATGTATAGAAGCAACACAAGAGATCAAAATGTCAGAACCAGCGAACTATGATGGATGCTAGCAACCATGAGCTAAAATATTACACGAATAAGAAATAACTACATATCTAGACAACTTATAATTTTAATTCAGGAGATGAAGATTTGTTTTCACTTTGTCATTTCCTGGTCATTGAAGAATTAACTATGAAACCCTAACAACAAATCTCTGTTTTTATGTTCTTCTTGGATTCTCTTAATAATGTATATAACCGCTTGACCTTTGTATTGTCTGACAATCTCCGGGTTTAGTTAAATAAATAACAAAAACATGAATATGGGCACATTCACTATATGATGAGTGGTTACATTGCTTTCTCGGCGTGCCAAAGAGAGTACAGGATGCTATGCATTGTTTAACACAACGCTGCTCAAAGATATAGCATACCAAGAATGCCCGAAATGCAGACTGAATAACTGTTGCAGCCAAATCCCCTTCTCTAGGAAGTTCTTCTGTCTGAGAAACATGCACATCACGTGATGCACTTTCTGATGAAATGGAATTTGAACCTAACTGGGTGTTGGTGCCATCCGTCGATGTTTCACTAGGTACTGCAAGTTCTTCTAATGCGGGATCCAGAGAATGCTTTCGTTTGTGTAGCTGTCGAGCAGAAGAGCTCTGCAACATTTATCAAAATCATCATGATCGAAAAGTAGAGCAGTAACACTTGTAAGCCAAGTGGGAATTCTAAAAAATCAAAACCTTAATAGTGTACACCGCTAATTAGGAATTCATGCTTGAAAAGTAACACCATAGTATGAGGTGCACGACAGCCTAGAATACATATCACACATTCACACTCATACTTGATTTAAGTAGACATAACATGAAGTAGTGTATCAGAACTCTTACAGCAGCTATATGTAAATGAACTGCAAACTCCTTCAGTTGCTGGAAGTTTAAGTTTGCTCAAATTTACAAACTGGTGCCTTGAGAACTAAAATAAATAAGATATTTCAAAAAATAATAAAAACATTACTTGAAAGAATAAAGGATAATGCAATCATCTAGTGGTGCACAAATCAACCAGCTATCTGTTACAGACAATTGAATACATTAAAAACTAAGTATCAATGCTTGAACCACGGTTAGACAGATTGAAGCCAACCGTTTTTTGACAGCCCTACCCTTCTGCGTGTTTTTTTATAGTGGTGATACAACACTGGCATACACAGAGTAACTCTGATTTTGGAACTATTGACAGTGGAGCAGAGCTGTTGAGCAGCAAGCCCATGACAAAGACATGCCAACAACAGCACTTGTTTGGCATCAGACAAACCAAATTTGGTACACCATCCACTTCTGCAGTTTTGTTCATTCGTTAAGATTTGTCATGTTCCCGAATCCCCCATAGAAAGACAAAAACAAAAAGCATGCGCACCTATCAAGCTGTCCTCATAAGAGAAGAAAACAAAAACAAAAGACAAACAAACTAATCATAGGTCCACACCTCATAGTTCAGCCATTCATTATGAATACACCCTATAAATCCAAGGCGGATACCGTGACTTACAGCTTCACTGCTCTCGGCATTTTGTGCCTTTTCTTGATTTTCTGAACTCCGCCCCTTGTCCTGCTTTCTTATGCGAACCAGTGATTTAATCCACTTGGCTGAAATGCCCATGGTAACCCAGCCTTTCCTTTCTTCCAATCAGAGAGCCTGAGACCTGCATTCAGAATATTGTGATGTTACTGTGCTACACAAGCAAAGCTGCTTCTGCTTGGAACTTAAGTGAAAGTACACAGATGACTCACAGCTTAAAACCAAGAAAAACTACATAACAATTGCTAGAATCTCGAGCAATGCATCATATAACAATTGCTAGAATCTCAAGCACATGCAGGTTGCTTCCAATGATTTAGTGGGAGTCCAGTAAAGAACCTAGGTTGTATGATAAGGTCAGTTAGAAGCAACAAAGATATTCTGTCATTCCTTCGCTGATGGTTTGCCAGAAAAGTATACAATGCCAGTCAAGACTGCGGCAGCAAACTAGCAGAGATGCTGATAGGTAATCCTACTCCACTACCTAATATACAGTGCACGCAAGGATGTTTCGCACGCCAGGCCGAAATCGAAGAACAGTTCAACAGGACATCCGAACCCAGAAAGTAAGAGAAACAGAGTTTCAGAGACTTTGCCATGGTTCTGCAAAAATGTAAGAAACATTTGAACTATGCGAATGCGGCTAAAAACTGAGCAGAACTCGCGAATAATTCCCAGCCAAGAGGGATGCATTCCAAGACGAAAATTTCAAGGGCTTCAGGCGACGCAAAACGTTCGCCTTGAAGGTTCTTCACTGTAAACTTTACAGCGGATGAAGACACGGCCAGCCCCCAAAAGAAACCCAGCTTTGGTGAGCAAGAAAAGGAGGGGGGCGGAGATTGTCAACAGGCCCTCTTTACAGCACTCCGTATAAATCTTGCAAAAAATGCAAGGACATCCATGGCAACTCGAAGCAAAAAAATCAACAAAAACACACCATGTGTACCCGCGACGGCAGTTCCAAGCCACCGAACGCGCGCACAAATCAGGAGTTCAGAACCACGGGCCGCGAGACGAGCGAGCAAAGGGATGCAGAGCTCGGACGTCACGAAATTCCCCCAAAATCTGGTGAAACCGGGACTCGAATCAAAGAGCAGGCCCGTCAATCATTCAGTCGGGGGAATCGAATTAGACCAAATCGCACCGGAGATGAAGGCGCTCGTCGAAAGTGCCTACGGAATGGGGGATTCTGGGCATGGGAAGGACGGGTTGGGAGGCTGGGGCTCACCTGGGCGCCGAAGACGAGAGCTTGAGACCAGGAAGCTGGAGAGTGGAGACCATTCCCTCCCTCCCTCCCCTCCGTCGTTCGCCTCTTGTGCCGCGCGTCGTGAGCCCCTCTTCTTTTCTGCCTCGGAGTGTACTCTTCTTCTCTCCCTCTTATTTGCGCTTTTCGTTTCTTCGAAGCAAAAAAAGAAGAAGAAAAAAAAGGACAGGAGCTCACATTGAAATGATCTGTTGAGTGCTGACATCGAAAAGTCTGAGACCTCAGTTTTATCTCTTGCCACTCAATTTTATGGGGAGAGTTGTTGAGTAAATGTTTTTACCCAAACCACCCATGTACACCTTTTTTTTACCAAGGGCATCTCCAACGCGGGCCTTTAAATCGCGAGCATACGTCCGGACCGAGTTGTCCTGAAGCAATCTGCCATTCAACACGGTTCTTTATTTATCTACGGAGACGTTAGGATACGTGAAAACCCATAAATCGGACACAAATCAGGAGGGCCTTTGCGGGAATACGGACCCCCGCCACGTAGGACTCCGACAACCCCGGCCCATCAAAAACCGAAGCGGACCTCGCGCGTTTGGAGTGGTCCGCACTGTTTCTGCGCCAAAAACCCCCATTCCTCACCCTCTCCGCTCCCAATCGTTGCCGCCCTCCTCCCTAATTCCCGCGCTTTTCACCTTTCGTCGCCACTTGGACACGTACGAAGAGCTGCCAGAGCCGGCGAAGGTGGAGGATCAAGAGAAGGTGGTCGCCCACAACATCAACTCGGCGACACGAGAAGCACGCCACCTCAAAAAGAAGGCAAAGGATTAAGAGCGCGGGCCCCTAGTGGGGCGGGACGGAGCAGGGGTCCGACAGGGGTCGGGCGAGCGCCGCCGTCCATGCACACGCACCCTGGCCGAGCAATTTCAGCCACCTACTTCTACGTCGCCAAGCAACTTAGTTGTCAATAGTAGTCCTCGACCGTCGCGCCGGGGTACGTGTCGTATTCATGGTGGAGTACCTCATGTGAGGGTTACATTGGGGATGCAGTATGAGACTACCAACAGTATGGTTATATGGATGTATATAGGAATGAGAGCCCCTAGCCTCCACCCTATATAAATGGTGGGGCTAGGTTTTGCAAGTGGTAGATTCAATCTGACCATTGTCGTCTTGACTTGAGGACCAAGATGATTTGTGGAGATATATTTGATCCTTCGGGCTCCCTTTTGTCGTGAGAACCTTACGAGCACCATAGGGCCCGTGGCAGGCCTGCTGATGGGCTCCCCTCCGAGAAGCCACCACCGGTGTACTACACTGTCACTTAGCCATGTGTATGGGCTTTTGGGTTGTCCTCCCATGGTTGGACCTTCAATAAGCCCTATGGGCCCCGAGGTAGGCCTGCTGTCGGGCTCCCTCTTGGAGGCCACCTCCGATGTATTACACCGCCAACATAGTAGACGTTAAGTGAATAGATAGTTGTGTAAGTGGCATGCAGAACTTGAGAGATTGGGAAACCTACCTTTAGCTCCCTTTGGTTTGACACTCCATATACTTCCACATCCACCATGGACATTGCTACAATAACTCCATGCACGTGGGGATTGTCACAAGGCTTCAATCTGTTGGTTGTTCGTGACATTTCTTTCCATCATCTCACTCTTTAGATAGAGTGGTCTAAACGGTGTTGGTTTGTTCCTCTATTTTCCCCAGCGATCGAGGTTGATGGAATGTAACTATGTTCCTTGAGCACGGATCTAGGCATGGACTATATTTGTCACAACCTTGGAATAAGAGTATCGAAATACAATGTGCAATTATACATGTATAACTTCATAATTCTTTGGACCCTTTTAACAATGGATTACTACTACTGCTATTCTCAACTAATATGTATGCTTTGTCAATATGGTTGTTGGACCCTCGAGAGCAAGAGTTTGCGGTGATCAGCAAATATTTCCCTTAGTGAAGAACAAGGGTTATCAATCTGATGGAGCACCTGACTTCAGTCAATAATCAACACCTAAACACAATTAAATAAGTTCTTCTTGGTCCCGACTTAAATAATGATCAAGGTTATCAGTCTCTTTGGCCTTGCTAGTTACAAGGATTAGCGAATAGTTTGCCGAGAATTGATGATTGTTCTAAGCAAGTAAATGCAACAATTCGTACTGTAAAGAACTAGAACGAATTTTTACTAAGGTTACTACTTCCATAAAGGATGTTGGAGTACCGACCTCCTTGAAGCCTCCGCATGTGAGAGTGCCCTCCATGACATTGTTTCGTGTGAGGCTCCCGCCGATGGCTCCATGGCGTTCTCCCAGTCGTTTGATCTCCAGGGATACCCCACACCCGACCGATTTAACTCAGAAGTCCATGACGTGTGGGGCATAGGGCGCGGCCGGGGCCACCTCTCTGTGGTGGTTTGCGTCATGCCTGCATGCGCTATCTCACGCTTTGCGACACGACCAACGGGTGTGCCGGACTAACTTGTCAGTGTTGGTCGCGCTGCTGTGCACGCACGTCGTCCCATTGATCGTCACATTCATAGCGGGGAGGCCGATCTCCTACGCCAACGTGCAGGTTATTGGCCCACATGTGGTGGGAAACCGCAATGTGGTCTGCAACTGCATCTATAGCTTTGATCAGGTTCCGGCCTTGCACGGCCGTGGTCTTATTTTGTGCCATCGAAAATGCACTTCCTCTTCAAGTCCTCCTTGTATTGGAGGATTTGCTGCCAATGGTCTTCGAGATCTTGCACCTCACGCAGATGGTTTTGGTCTTGGGCCAGCTTTACAACTAACTTTTTTTGCGGGGAGTTTTACAACCGACTTTGATGGATTCTCCCGAGCTTGATTGTGGCGTGGATAGCTGAACTCATCTTCCAGGAAATCCTTACCATTGAACTCACTAGGAAACCGAGGTGGTGCTCACTCGTCAGGCACTTCCTTAACCCGCGGGTCGTAGTCTGGGTCTTCTGGATTACTACCTCCGTCTCGGTGAATAAGTCATTCGCGTAGTTCTAGGTTGACGATTTAACTATCTAAATTTATATTATATGTGATAAAAAAATATATTTAGGAACTACATCGTTGTAAAAATCTAGTGATATACTTTTCATGACATATAGCACATATTTAATTCCTCAAATCGATGACCTAGAACTACGCGAATGACTTATTCACCTAGACGGAGGTAGTAGTTTTATTGCGAGACCTTTGGCCAGTGCAGTTCACGTCCACGATGTAACACTCATAGGTTGAGGTCACCTACCACTTGTGTAAGGCCATTGTGATTGGCGGCTGGTTGTCCGCAAACTCATCAAATTCCTCTCCCATGTCGTCCTCAGTAGCGCCCTCCAAGACGCTAGGAGATCCTTGATGTTGGCGATGAGATGGGTAGTTTGTGGGTCAAAAAATTCAACATCTTCCGGCATCTCCTGGATCGAATCTAGAACCCCTGCCCTTGCTGCTCTTGGATTTGGCTTGACGTCAAAGCCTGGAGGAATATCTCTCCGCGGGAATCCGCGGAGAAGTCTAGGTTGTAGAATCGGACTAGTCGAGCAAGCAACGAAGGTGGTGACGCTGAAAACGAACATCTGCATCGGCGTGAAGATCTTGCCAAAACCGATCTGAGCGCCAATATCGACTCCCTTTGAGCCACTGAGTTCGCCTAAATGGAGGCCACCCCTGTCGGAGCTGAAACCTGTAGATCCATTGGTTGGGTATCCCAGCTAGGCGACTGGGCTGGATGATAACAGGAAGCGAGGTCTTACCCAGATTGGCTCTCACGGAGGAGATAATACCCTATGTCTTGCTTGTGTATATTGAAGGAAATATGCCCTAGAGGCAATAATAAAGTTATTATTTAT